CATCTTGAGAAAATCTGATTTTCTCCACAGATTCCCCTTCCAACTCAGAAGCGTCTCACACTGCTCCTCTCAGAGCATTATATTAAGCACAGTGACAAATGCCACTCATTAACACTCTGTCGATGCAACAAGATCCCAAGTGAACAGTCACCACCAAGGATAACAATTCCCAACTGGACAACAAATACTCCCATATCAAACCAGGCATAAAAAAAAGATAATTTAGAGAACTGCAAAGGAAGGAATCCTACACATCGTAAACCTTTTCACTGATAACCAGGAACTGCCACTATGCCAACTCTCAAGAAAAGTAGTTGGGATATGAGATTATTTTCGTCTTAGTATAAACAAAATTTCTAAGCCACCTGTTATGTGTCAGGTTAAGAAGACAGTCAACAGGCTCTGCCCTCCATGCCTCCACCAAGCTGTGCTTATCACCTACATGTGTTTCTACTCCAACACTACTGCAACATACCATAATACTCCATAGTTATTAACAGACTGCTGCTTCAGGTAGCCGCAAGGAAAAAAGTGGAATTAAAGACAAAGTTTCTTTTTGTGAGAAAGTGGTTTCAAAAAATGAAACAAGCAATGTTAGGAAAGTCTGCCACAGGTTCAAGACAGCAGGTAGCCAGAATTTAAATACAATGCAGAAAGTTTCATGTAATGTAATCAGCTATGCTACACAATCAAATTTCATAAGTTGCCAATATATTACACAAAAATTAAGACTGTGCACCATGCAACACAATTGCTAATAGGTGCTAACAGCCACCTTCCGTGGCTGTATTGCAGTGACAGCTGCAGACTAACTTGCCCAGAAACCTTTTACAACACACAGAGAATAAATAACACACCACCACACACAAAACTTCTCACAGGAAAATGCACCAACTTCCTAGCAGGGGAAAAGGATTTGATAATTTACGTCAGCAGCAATCTAGAAAGCCTTGTCTTGTCAGTCATTCCTAAGGTAAGGAAGATGAGATCGAGATCTCCTTTTCCCGACTAATGAATCAACTAATAAATCATTTTGCAAAGCCTACCCACAAACCATATTTAAGTACTCCAAGACTGTCTTATAAGCAAGAAACAAACAACAGCTCTCACTCCTGATTTGGGGCTGCAGGAAAAGGCAACCTGTCCAAAGCATAAATGCATCATAATTTAAACAATAAATTTTGAACTGTTACCAGTATTACTATATACTCTCACTCCATGGAGAAGGAAATGCCTAAAATAATAGAAAAGGCTTCCTTTATCACCCATAACTCTCTTAACCAAAATTAAGTCAACAACACCCCAAGAACAGATCACATCAAAACTGACTTAAGGCTGAAGTAGAGGCTTTATTCAGGAGAGGCCTGAATAATAATAAGGCAGTGGATCCACGCAGACAGTCCAGGCCTCTGAAGGGGGTAGTGCCCCCAAAGCCTTTCCTTGCTCTCACTGTACCTGCCAATATTCGGCCCCAAGATGACACAGTTCAACTCACCAAATCAAGAGAAAATCTGCACAGAAAAACAGCAAGTACTTTGCTGCTGGTTTAGCAAGCTGAACTAGCTCAACCAGAGGTTGAGCACTGCCAAAGACAAGGAGATAGAAGCACACTGCCAAGAGGATCCTGCAGTGCTAGACCATCATTTACAGCTTTTGCTAGATCAGTCGAGTTCATGAAAACATACCCCTGTGTTTAACAGATCACTGCACACATCTAACCTTAAAGCCAAAGTTAAGGAGGGAGGAAAGGGAAATCCCAAAAGGAACACAAAGAAAGCTGCATGAGTTTCATTATAAAAACAACAATGCACAAGTTCATAATTGATGTACTTTCTATGACAGAAAACGTGAAACATGGTAACATGTTTCATGACAATAATAAAATTTAGTAGTAACATGGAAACATTAAACAGTAAAAACTCAGCTTCCCTTTTAAAAGGCGAAGAACAAAGTTGGAATAAAATACCATTTTGCTTCAAAAAGTCTCTTTGGACAGTATTTCAAGCTGTCTTTAATTCTCTCTTGTCTCTCTACCAAACTATTATCACTGTCTATCCGTACTCCAACCTCCACATCACTGTCCTCGATGTTTTTCCACCAAGTGTCTTGAAAGACGGACCAAGCTTAAAGAAACATCCCTGGAAACATTTTTGTTTGTATAGGTTAAATATCCTGAACAGAATACAAACATCAGCAGTTCACTTAAAAAGGTGACTTACAAATTAGACGTAGCAGATGCATTGCATTTAGGATTAAAGAGAAACTAAAAGAAGATTAGCATCACTGATGTCAAGTGGTATCTTGACTCAATATTACATTATTTATTCTTAAGTGTCATTCATGGCTTAAGTGTTACTCTTCCTTGATGCGTACTGATCTGAAATGGATTACTGATCCGAGAATTATTCCAGTATCTAACAGACATGGTTCCTCAAAACAAAATCCCAGTGGTTCTTTCACTCATTTTAGGAAAAATATAGCATTTTCTCATCAAGAAAAGCAGTAGACCTTAAAAAAGATTAGTAAAAAAAAAAGATAAATCATAGCCAGCATATTCACACAGTAGAAGTATACAGTGAAGTATATTCACACAGTAGAGTTTCACTAAATTCAACTCAATACTCTAATAGGACTTAGCTGGAATGAAAATTACAGTCATTGGGGAAATCTTTAAGGGATACTTAAATAATTGTGAGCTAACGGTTAAAACAAGTTATCAGTGTCTATTATGCAGAAGATCACACATAGGCTGGTCTTGAACAGGTCAAGTCCCTGTGACCCTCCTGTCCCCAAGAACAGGAAGGCATGCAGAGTGTGATAGTTTGTCCAGTTGAAGACATAATTACACACTGTCCTTTCAGGCACCACCAGCTCTCTCCCCTCTGTGACAGACACAGCACACAACTTTTGATTCTGAAAAGCTCAAATGGTCAGTTGACAGGCTTTCAGCCTGTTCCTATGTCAACTTTGTACACAGACAAAACAATTACTTCCAAGAGAATAGTTTCAAAATAAATTCCAAAGCAGCGAGTATTACAGATGTAAGACAGACCATCTTCCCCATTCTCTTTTCAAGCATCTTCCTTAAGCGTGATTCAACCTGTTTCAGCCCTTTCTCTAAGTTAACTTTACTAATGCATTATAAGTATGGAATATACAGTGTTATCTTAAATTTTTAACACTGTAAAAGGTCATTGAAATTAATTCTGTTCTAACAATGAGTACGTTTTACTCTATCCACAGGTAAAAGCATTTCACACTGTAAGAGGTATGAACGTCTCAGAGCTCAGAATTCACAACCTCACAAACTCAAATTTCTCAGTTACTCTGTATCACACCAGTAACTTTAAGCATCTAAAAAAAAAAATCTTCAAACACTCAGCTCAAAGCTATTTCAGTAAGTTGAAATAATTATTCCATTCCCTATTTTCAATTAAGTTCCAGACTTTAGATTTTTATTTTTCAGAAGTGTGGCAAGAGATGACTAAGAACTTGCAAGAATCACATGTACCATTACTAAACTACATAAAGGCCTGCTCTGTGAGTTAAGTGAGGGAATTCTGCAGTTACTTTGCATGGAAAAAAACAAAGGTGAGATATCAGAACCCAAACAACAGCAATAATTTAGGATACAGATTTTCAGAGGCATTGCTCCCACAGTACCTTGTAAAGATAGCAACTGCTTGTAAACAGCAAAAACTGTTTGATAGGAAATACTCCTTGTATGCTTAAAGAAACTATTGTCCAAGCATTATTTGAAACACGACTGATCATTAAAATCCATAAAAGGGTGAAAGGAGAATACACACACGCAGTTTTCCATGTAATTATAACAGGACATATCAGATCTGTTCGGTCACAGTCAACAAATAACCACGCAGACTTTATCCTCCTGTTGTGCTGACATTTTACACAGAGCAGGAGCGCTGGGGCACTGGCTTAGGGGACAGCAGATTCCGGTACAATTCCTTGCTCATCCACGAGCTTCCTGCACAGCCTGGCTCACATCTCCAGCTCCCTGTGCCCTCATCCCACTTGGAAGGGTGGGCAAAGAGCAGGAACGTTTCAAAGTACTCCCATCACGGCAGCTGAGGCCCAAGCACACAAAATCACAACCGCCCGCTTTTTGAAACGTGAAACAGAAAACCGACAATCGTTATTATCTGCGTTTATGTATACTGGGAGTGACACACGTTCACCTGGCATGACACATCCCAAATTGTTCTCTGAATCCTGTAAAATCAAGGACCTGAAGAAACAACAGCTGTTGTTATAAACAATTTCTTCATAAATGTGGTGACCTGAGAGATCAAATGCATGCACTGTCCTGCATCCAATAACGACAGGTAAGGCTCCTCTCTCAAGTGCATCAATGGTTCTTTCGTGCAAAAGCAACTTTCTCTGTGTTAATTATCTGATATTTAAGACTCAGTTCACTGCACCACTCCCATTTAGAAACAATCCTAGGATCAGCCCACACTTCGAAGTCACAATAAAGGCCTAACACTGCAGTCAACGCTTCAGCCATGCAGGCAAAGCTGGAGGGATCCTGGAAGCAGGGATTTGACACCATCATAATCACAACAGGCATTAGTGTGTCCAACGAATTCTGACCTGAAGCAGCAGGTGAAGGAGGCCCAGGGAGGGCAGGCCAGCCCTCATTCCCGCACGATCCCCAGCGATCGCATCTCCGCACAGGGCCCGCACACACAACTCCCGGCGGGGGCACCGTATGTGGAGCAGCCCCAGCATCGGCCCCGCGCGGTGCCCTCGCACCGCCCCCGGCGCAGGTCCGCGCTCCCCCTGCCCAGCCGCTCGCCGGTGCCCCGGGAGGGCGGTGAGGCCGCCGAGCCCCGGCCCCGAGGCCGCGGGGCGGGGGGACCGGGCGGGAGGGGCGGCCCGGCCTCTGCCCCCCGCCCCCGCCGCGGCCCCGCACTCCGCCCGGCGGGCGGCGCCGAGCCCCGCCGCTCCCCCCCAGCCCGGCGGGGCAGCCCCGGTACCTTGCGGACCCCCTTGTAGATGTAGAAGTAGAGCTCCCGGCCCACATTGAAGCACAGCCGGTCCCCGTTGCCGCTCTGGTCGTTGACGTTGACGAAGGAGACGCGGACGGGGTTGGAGCCCTGCGAGTTGAAGGGCACGCGGTTGGGCCGGCTGTACTCCGAGTGGCTCAGCAGCTTGTACAGCCCCTCCCGGGTGGTGAACTGGGTCTTAATCTCGTTCATCTCCTTCCCTCCTCCCTCCGCCGCCATCTTGGAAAGGAGCGCTCATCCTGCCCCAGTGCCCGGATGTGCCCACACTGCGCAGCCGCCGGCGCGCGCGCGGCCCCTGCGCGCGGGGGCGGTGCGAGGGGGCGGGGCCGGCAGGGCCTGTTTACCGCGAGACTGCGCGCGCGCCGGGCCCGCGCGCCCGGGGGCGGGGAAAGGGGCGGGGCCTGTGGGAAGGGGGCGGGGCAAGGCGGGGAGTCCCGGGATGCGGGAGTGGGTCGGGTTGGGAGGGACAGCAGTGGGACAACGGTGGGAAACCTGGTCCGACCCCCCTGCTCAGGCTGGGTCATCCCAGAGCACACGGTACAGGATGGCATCCGGATGGTTCTTGGGTATCTCCAGTGGGGGACACTCCACACCCTCTCTGGTCAGCCTGTTCCAGGGCTCGGTCACTGCACAGTTCCACCTCATGTTCAGGTGGAGCTTCCTGTGCATCAATTTCTGCCTGTTGCCTCTTGTCCTATTGCTCGGCACCACCAAGCAGATTCTGGCTCCGATACTCTTGACAGACACCCCTCCTTCAGATATTTATGTGCACTGATGAGGTCCCCTTTCAGTGGCCTCTTCTCGAGGCTGAACAGGCCCAGCTCCCTTGTAACAGAGATGCTCCAGTCCCCTCATCATCCTCATTGCCCTCTGCTGGACCCACTCCAGGAGCTCCATGTCTGGACACAGCACTCCAGATGTGGGCTCACCAGGGTCACCCAAGTCGGTGGAGCTGTGGGGCAACTGTTGAGGAGGGTAGGGGAGAACTCCAGCTGGCAGGTGTGAGCAGGGGCTTTGCAGGCCCAGGGGGAACAGTTGCCTCAGGATGGGATAGGGTGGTCCCCGGCACCACTGGAGGTGCCGATTGGAGCTGGGAAGTTGTCCATGTGTGTGTGCTGGGGCAGTGCTGTTTTTCGGGCAATGGCTCCCAGGTGGGAGCCCCTGATGGAGACAGGACCTCCCTCCTTCCAGCTCTGCACCAGCCTCCAACCTGCTGCAGGCAGAGCCAGGCTGGGGAGTTGACCTGAAGAGTTAACCTGAAAAACTGGTTGACAGATAGCTCACCTCATTGTTCTGATCATTCTGCAACCTACAGCCAGCTGTGTTGCACAGTGAACCAGACCAGTGTCAGGTGGGGGTGGCACAGGGTTAAAAAGGATTGTATTCACTGTGCAGGGAGTCAGGATTGTTTCTTCAGACAGCAGATTCAACTGAAAGTTTGTCTGACCACAGCCTCATGATTGACTCAAACTGATCTAACACTGATCCACCATAAAATAGGGCTTTGACCTGTCCTCTGTCTTCAGGTAGGTATTTCCATTACCTCCCTTGCATCAGTTCTAGTGATCATGCAATCAAAGGGTGAGTCAGATCCACTTGAAAACTAACATGCACAAAGAAATTATGGGTTCTCAGGGAAGCAAAGTGTTGATCAGCAACCAGGCTGATCCAACTCATCACAGAATTGCTGGAGCCAAAATAAGGAAGGAGTAAGGAATGTGCGAGTAGGGGAAGGTAAGCAGCACAGAGTTATATCATCTTATATTAAAAATAAAAGGAAAAAATACTTTCAAGGTACAGTTTCCTGCTGTAGCTGTGTTGCTCTAATGTGGCTAGTACCAAGGGCATTGCCCTGCTTTCCTCCTTCTGGACCAGGACTATCTCCTGCGTCACCAGCAGCAGAGCTCATTTGAACTCATGGTGAGCCATTTCTGAAGGATAAGTGGACAGAGAATTAATCCCTGCAAATGTGAAATGAACAGGGTTAAACAAGAAACAGTGACTATGTAAGAGGGACAGGAATGGACAGCAGAGCCAGAGGGAAGCAGGACCTCCCTTTTTTTCCACTAGATCAGCTCAACTGAAGAAGTCCACTCAGACACCAGGGGGTTAAAGGGATTTAGTTTCAAGCCAATTTAGTTGAAAGAGATTTTGTTCGCAGCTAAATACTGTCTTGTTGTTGACCATCAATATATTAGTACAAGGTAGCTCCTAAGAGATATGAAACAGCCAAAGATCTCCAGAACAGAGTATGTATCTGAGTGAATATCTGAAAAAGTACAGATAATTAGACTTCTGAAAGGCCAGGTATTGAGGACTTGCTTGAAATTTTCAAGATAAAGCCAATCAATAACGACCATCGTCAGCTTACCAGCCAGCCCTGACAGATGGTATTGATGACCTCCTAAAAGCACATAAAGTAAGTGGGCAGACACGCAATTATTTTAAAAATCATCTCAAGAGTGGTTATTTTACACAGAAATTTCATGAGTGGACTTCCAGAGAGAAGGTCATAATGTTTTCAGTCACCAAAGAGGAGCAAGAAGTGCGAGGATCTCTAAATAATGATATTCAAAACAGACAAGGCTGTAAGAACAACAACATAATAAAAAACCCAGAAGTGTTGCTCCAAGCAGACACACTCTCCATGTCTTATTCATTACACACTGACAACACTGGATGGATCACTCTGGAGAAGAAAACAGGCAACTTTGGTAGAGGGACTGTGTGGAATGCAAGTCGCACTGAAACCGCAGCAGGCCATCCATCACTGATGGAATGAGTGTGATCCAAAGAATAAACAAAGTTAACAAGTACCTGGTTATCAGCAGTACATGATGGTGCAGAAAGTCAAAGAATTGATGTAGTGTTTAACATTTACAAGAAACATCAATAAAAGCTGCTGAGAGATTCCACAGAGAATCCAAGACAAATATTCATTTGAAAAACACAGCTGCAAGTCACAAGAACACTATTGTACAGCCCCATCAACAATGCTCATCAAATACTGGGGGAAAAAGAGATTACAGAGATAAGTCTTATGAAAAAATTCCCTGTACCACTTGTAAGTTCTTCTGTTTCAAGCTAACCAGTGGTGATAGTTCTGAAATGGTCCCATGAGGACACCACTAGATGAGTTGTTTTTGTGTGCACCACACAGCCAATAAACAGTCACAATCACTGCTCCATTGGGCCTTTACTTCTCACAAATGTGTTGGCAAATTGGAAAACAGACATGAGCAAAATTCACTAATGTTGATAAAATAGTATGGAGATTGCTTTATGCAGGGCACAAATTGGTCCTGCAACTTTTCAGAATGTAACATTAATAGTGCTTTTACTGCAATCCAAGTGCAGTTACAAACAAAACTTTCCTGTGCTTGAATTTGATTGCCATCTGTTACTTCCCAAAAAGTGCAACAACTGATATTAGTTATGCATTTGCCAGCTTTTCTGAGATAAAAAATAATAGAGGATGGTGGTTACACTCATATTCCATCATGTAAACAGTATCTATTCCAGTGTGCACTGCCTGCAGATTATGATGCAGGAATCAGGAGACCATCTCTACACTGTCTGTCGACTGTAGTGGTTCTGTCAAGTCTTTCTGGGGCTTCTGATCCCAAAACTAATTTAGGCATTTAGTGTGTGACTGACCTAAGGGTCAAAAGAGTCAAAAACTCTGCAATGTGCCAAATTTTAACAACTTTTTTTGTGTGTGTGAATTACTAACAGACAGAAGCTACAGATCTATAAGTGACACGTCTGAACTAGGCAAAAGACTGGTGCTGATGAGGAGGATGGTATGAAAGTTCCATTTGATATGGGGAGAAGAAAAAGAATGGCAATGTTGGAAATAAGTTTCCAAGTTCTTACATAGTCTTTAAAGTACATCTAACTTGCTTTCATCATGAGATAATATTATGGCATGGTTTCATAGCCCCTTATTTGCATTAAGAATCTCTTTTTAGCCACTGCATACATTCAACATTAAATACATGACATAATGCATTATTTATTGCAAAGTGAAATGGTGTTATCAAGGAACTTTCTGCACTGCTAGAATTGTTGTTGTTGTTTGTACTCTCATCCCTCCTCAAGAGCAAGAGCTTGTGAAACATTTCGTTTTCATAGCTGGGGGGTTAATTACTGAAAAACAAATGGGTATTTTGTAAAAAACAGACATTTGGATTGAAGAAGGCAAGGTACAATAAATCTGCCTTGCAGTTGGGATTAGATGATGGTGAACTCTGTTGTGTCTTTGGAAAACTTTGTTTTGCTGTTTGCAAGCAGCTCTCTGTAAGTTGTGTCCCAAAAATACTCCCTTACCTCCACAGCCAAGAGTGTTGTTCTTGTCAACAACAGTTATTATCTTGAAGCTGCAGTTGTCCTGGAAATTATATTCTCTGAAGATAAGACTGAGATAATGAATTTAATTTAAATTCTATGGAAAGCCAGAGAGATTGGTTTGGTATGCCTACAAATAGCTTGTGTTTCTAAGATCTGCCACAGCATTATGTACTTCTCAAAACTCCCTAAATATGGATGGCATATTATCCATACACACAGTAGTGCTGTAATCAGCTGAGGAATGACAAACCTGTGAATAAATAAGGTCTGATGGTTGGCCAGCAGCAACAACTCAGTTTCTTACAAAACTGGAATTTCTAGACAGTGATGCGGTGTGAGAAGGCAGTGCCACAGAGAAGGCCAAGAACCCTCCTAAATTGCACTCTGCAATAGACTCTTGCATGTTTGTAACTTCAGAAACAGAAGATTCAGTAAAGAAGTGTTTCAAAGTTGTTTTTTCTTCCATCAGAACCAGCTGTTTCAGTCAGCTGGTTTTCACTGGGAAGCTTGTGGTTATTGGGTTATGATAACACATGGTTATTGATGGGTGTTGCAGGTCAGCCAAGCAATCTGTATTCGGGATGAGCAGCAGTTAGTTAACAGTCATCCATGCAAGAGAAGGGGCTGCCAGTGTGTGATTTAAGAGTCCCTAAGCAGAGCAAGAAGTAAGGAAAGCTAAGAAAGGTGTCCTTGGAAAGAACAAGCTTTTAACAGCCAAGGAGAGGGAAGCAATACAAACCTAAAAAAAAAATAAAATATAGTGACTAAGTTCTAAAAGGTGACCAGAATCGGGAGCCTCTGAACATTTTGCACCTAAGACAGGTATGTGCATGGATATCTTAAATTTATCCCAGGTTCCTCAGTCTCCCCCAGGTCACCTACCTAGCTGATGGTGAGA